ATAATGAAAGAAAATAAACCCAAGAGGACATTCATCCTGAGCAAGACTAGTATTAAATTTCACTGCTTGATTCACGGAAAGGGAGAGAAAAAAACCCAGACGTGACGTTTTTCTCATGCTGGTGAAAAATTCCCCAAATGAATCTAGACATACCACCTCAAAAAGTCCCCAATCTCACTGGAAAAGCTCAGTTAAGTAACAGAAACATTGGCAGGTCCTGGAGAGGGAGCCAAAGCAGCTGCAGGACCTGCTTTACCAACGCCCGAGACCTTGTGAGGCGCAGGGATTGCGCTTCCCACTATGGGCGATAAAGCAGCAAAGCTGTATCGATAAATATCGATACCATGTGGGGCAGCGGCAGCAGAAATGGCTGTTGGAAAACCAACAATCCCGAGGGCACGTCGGTGCCGACACATTGGGAGCAGACAGAGGGAAGAGCTGTTAAATGCAGCCACCGGGACAGGCTCTGCAGGAGCATCCTCCAGTTTAGCACACATCCCCCGCCAAGCACTGGCTGGAGTGGCAGCTCCAGGCACCCAGGTACCCCAGAGCACCACCCCATCCATCCCCATCACCTTGAAATTGGACTCGCCGTCGAGACTCGCTGTAGTGACGTAACAGGTCCCATCAACGCTGCTCGAGGCCAAAAATATCAAGTCACAGGGGAAGGTCTCATCTGCTTTCACTTCTACTATGTCTCCAACCTGGAAGAGACGAAGCATTCACCTGAAAAACCCTCTCGGTTGTCATTAGATGGTTACGGATTTAGCTTCTCTCAAAGCCCAGAAGCAATAACCTTGGCTAAAAGGGAAACTGGGGTTCAAGAGGTGCACAGGTCCCCAGATATCCCACCACAGCCCGACAGGTCAATCCAGCCTAGCACCAACTCAGAGCGCCCACATGGCATGGTTGGTATTTATTTCTCTGCTAAATCTCGATGGAGCAAGAGGCTGTACTTGTCTGAAGTGCGGTGTGACAAATTAACGTCAAAGCTAAGCGTACTTTCCTGGTGTCCTTGGGAGAGTTGGAAATAGAAGAGGACAGCCTGTCCCAGAGAAGTGCAAAACGCTGACAGATCTGTCACTTGTCAGCCCCGGTACAGCTTTTGCGAGACAGCTTTTCAAAAGCCATCAAAGGCAGCTTCACTCCTTAACCGGGACAGCTCTAACCACGGTGCGCTCCTCCGGCCCTCATCTCCTTACCACACACCCTCGTGTCCCCATCGGCTTCAGCGATAACCACACACGAGTTCTTTGTTAACAGTTACCTTGATTTTTTCACTCTCTTTCTGCACTTGCTTTGCATTTTCAACAATGAAGACGTTGCTTTTGTTCACTTCGTTGTCAGCTCTGTGCCTCAGCCAGTCCTCGTATCCCTAGGCACACAAATACAGGCAGCACAAACTCGTAACGAAGCAAGTAAACTAATGGAAGAGGATGTGTGCGAATGGAGAGAGAGGGAGATATTAAAAAAATGAATAAATTAAGCAGTTCTCAGACCTCCTTCATGCCTGACAAAACACCAACCACAGTAGCTCAGATTGAATCAATTTATTTTAAAAAACTTCATATGCATATTTGACAGATTCAGAACAGACTAAAAAAACAAAAAAAAATAATCTACATGCAGCGCATGCAACGAGCAGCTAAATTACTGTAACATGTTTCCATTCTCCTCAGTGTTGGCAAGGACAGGCTGACAATATGAATAATACACTTCGCACCCTGCGCCTCTTTCCTATGGTAACGCAGGACAAGACTCTTCCTCTTCAGCCCTCAATGAAAGAATAAAACCTTCAGATTCGAAACAGATGGATTTTACTCTAGTTCTCCCTTTCCGGCCCCTGCAGAAGAAACTTCTTTTATCATTCAATCCTTCCACAGAGGATATTTTAAGTGGCACATGTGTGTACGATGGGAGGAAAAAGGGCTTATAACATCACAAGAAGATGAGGACTACGTATTTTCGGGACTAGCTGAGCTGTAGAACAGAACCTGTCCTTTCCAGTTACCAACACTGGAGCAGAGTGGGGCTACATTTGGAGCATGGCTCTGCAAAGACTCGGAAAGCATTTCTAAAAAGAGAACAAAAATTCAAGTAAAGCCAGAACTACAGTGGTAACCTTTACTGACCCTCACGGCTTGTTTACAACAGTACATACAGAGATGCTTTACGCTGCCAAAACAAAAGAGACCAGTAGCCACACTCCACATGCAGCCGCTCTTGAAAAGCATCAGTACAGGCGTCCCGCCTTCTGAGAAGGGTTCACCAAACCCACCAGCCCATTCTGGTGACTTCTGAGTCTGTTCAAACACATGCTCATCGTTTTCTCCATTATACATCCCAAAGAGCATCCTCCTCTCCCCACACTGATACTTGTACCTGTTTGATAGCTGTGACGGTGATGACAAAGAAGAGCGGGAGGCCGCTGGTCACCGGGCTCGTCGGGGTGTCCACGATCACCTGCAGAGAGAAAAAATGTACTGCTGAAAACTGGTTTTCAGGCAGCAGAAGAAACAAAAACTCTTGTAATGGGAAAAAAAGGGTGCTCAGCTCACTGCGGGTAAGTCACAGCCCAGCAGAGGAGGAAGGGAAGGAATGGGCACATAAGAAGGACCAGCACAGGGATCCTGAGGAGACTATAATCCCTCCTCCTGAAGACCACAGGATGTCCTCAGGTGGGAAAAATACTATCAGAAGTAGCTTAAAAGCTAAATTTGACCTTGCTCTAGTGGGAAACAAAAGCCCGGATGAATGGACTGCTGGGGATGGGCTACATAAATGCAACTGCTCAAAGCACAGATGCCCACAATTCTGCTCCCACCATGGGGTGTGCTGGAGAGGACGACCACGTGGAAGGAGGAATGGGCAGAGGCAGCAGCAATGCGTGAAAACCCCCCTCATTTCTCAGTGAGCCACAGGAGGGCCGATTCTCCTCTTTGGCAGTGAAGACAGGGCACATCTGAACCCTAAAGCACAGCTGGTTATGAGAGGGAGGACACCACCCGTCGTCTTGAACCATTGACACTCAGAGGCTAAAAGTAACGTGCATCAGCCCAAATGACCTATGAAATAAAAATCATGCTCCACTCCGCAACATCAGTAAAACAGAAATCCACACGTTGTCTTTACGCTCTCAAATTTGAAGTTCAGAGCCTGATTTAAGCACAGCGACCGCACAAGGGCCTTGGGGTGGGTAGGTGAATCCTTCCTGAGCTCGGTACGGCGCTCAAGTCAGCGCCACAGCAAAGACCAAGTCTCTCCATCATTAATTAAACCTTCGGGCTGCGGGAAACTGCTGTTTATTCTGACTGTATCATGACATGGCCTGAAGGGTAAGAACGGCAGAACAGGTTCACAACTAGGAGGGAATAACGTAAGCGTCCTTGCCCCACCTTCCAAACCAGGGCACATAAAATCGGCCTTCTTTCCTGCCCTCCCCAGAGAGGACGGGAGCACCAGAGGCAGATGGCGAGGGCTGTGCCGAAAGGGATGGGGAAGCTCAGCAGAAAGGCTTTGTGTCCCCACAAAGGGACTTTGTTTCCCTCCGCTTGTTTGCGCTTCCCTGGCACGCTCACAAACCACAGCATCTGTATATTTATTGTTTTAGGCTGTCCGTAAAATGCTGTGTTAAGGACAGGACCGCTCTTATCAGCTGGGAGGAAGCTACATTGAAGTTTTTAACTCTGTGAAATGCTGTATACTGCAATTTTACCCTGCACTAGTGGACCCAAAGAGAGAAGAGATAGAAGTAGAAGAGAGACACCACCAGAAGCAGCCAGCAAAGTGGTGTATGAGTTAAGCAGCATCAGGGTAAACCAAAATAAACACAACAAATATTCCCAGGAAGACAAAGCCCTGGCTCACTCAAATGGGTGTAAAGTGTTTACAAACAGAAAGTCCGGTAGAAACCAGAATTTAGAGGAACAACCTTGAGCGAGCATGGTGCCAAGTGTCACACAGACACCTCACACACAGCATGCATGATGGACACTCATGGGAGCGGCATCATCGAAGTCTTGGCCCATCAGCCAAAAGTTATCCAGCAAAAACTACACAGACACCAGAAATACAAGAGGAACTTTGGCTTTTAGCTGAGAAGGGCAAGGGAGAGAGGACCTCCTGCTGCCCCACGGGCGAGTTCTCTGCACTGGACCAGATGCAGCTGTATTTAAGCAAGCAATATGATTTCTGTCCAGACAAATGCTGTATTACAGGTGTGTGAGCACAAATGTTAGCTGAAGTCCCCAGAATAACTCGTTTGTGTATTTGGAGACTGCACTCCCTGCGCATCCCATGGCTGGATACTGCTCTTCCCTTTCGCAGCTGGTGGAAAGCCGAGGGACACACGAGCAACGTGCCAGAACATCAAAGGCAGACTCCTTTGAAGCTATTTTTGAGCTGTTTTAGGACTTCAGTAGCTTAACTTGGATCTACTTAAAAGCAACAAAATCCTCCTGTTACTTAATAGTTTCTTCCTAACTCATTGCTTAAGAGACTGAAGACCACAGTCCAGAAGTCATCCCCACCAATCAAAAGGGAAATTTTTCATTCCTGCCACCTCCTAAATTAGCTTACTGCCATCAGCTTGGTCTGTCTACAAACACATTTGGACTACACTTACTCCAGGCCAGCCATTTCCACCAGTTTACCTGCAGTTTCCTTTGAGTGCTGCAACAGATGAATCACAGCAACAGCTACTTGTATGCCTGTTAGTGCACCAATAGGTGTTTTATGTTTAATGTACGCACTTTCTCCTCCTCTCTCTTAAACAAGAGCTGAATCTGGAGTCCCAGAGTAACAGACATTTTGACAGAGGGCTTCAGCAGCAGGTAGAGCAAATACACCAGGCAATCCCCCAAGCGCTGTGATACTTCGCTCCCAATGCGGCACATAGGGCATTTCCATTAAAGCAATTCAAAGAGAAGCACCAACATTCAAGCTGTAGACGCCATTTATCAAGGTATAACCCTTGGTATTTTAAATGAATGGAGCAGCCCTGAGTGTTTTTTTCAGGCCAGCATCATCTCCAGAACAACGAGCGCCCGGCGGCAGTCAGTCACTCTACACAGCAGCGAGCGTATTAGTGCTGTCGGGCTGGTTTCTGTTCGGTTGAGTTTGGTTTTTCTCTAATAGAGCATGAGGGTTGTTTCCTTATTTTAGAGGTGCTCACAGAATAAAAACAAGGAGGAATAGCCAGGCTCTTCTCTCACCTGCATACACCTGTGCCTAAAACGGGTAAGCAGCTAAACTGCAACCAGCCGTGTAAGAACAAACAAGGATACCCCACGTTCTTCATGGCCAGAGGGTCATTAGATAAAACGTAATACTGTGTCGCTAAATGGCCAGCTACACAAAAAGGACATCCCGACTCCAGGGCATCGCTTCAGTTCAAGGCAAATTACAAATTCAGTCTGACAAAACAGAGCAACACCAGCGGAATCAAGAGATGGAGGCGAGCCAGCTGATGCCGGGGTAAATTGGCCTTTCATGAAACACTGTCAGGAGGAGCCATCCATGGCCGTGATCTTGGGATCCCCTGTTTCTGCAGCAGCCACTGAAATGACTAGAAGCCGCAACTCTTTCAGGACAAAAGATTTCAGGCACTCGTCTTTTGAACACGCAGCCTAGAAGAGAGCGATACCCCAGACGTGACCCACCGAAACCCTGGAGCAGTCACCTATAAGCAGGCAGCTTGCAGTAGCTGCACAGTGCCATTTGATTTGCTGCAGCAGAGTGTTCTGTGCCTATTTTCAGCCCTAGAGCAGGTTGTCTGCTGAGCCCCAGGCCTGAGCACAGGATTTAAAAGGCGAGTAAGTGCACTGTGGTGATTCTCCCAAACTGCCTTCCCCCCAGAGTATCTGGACAGTGCTCTTTTCTTGGCTGATAGAACAGAAAATGACAGTTCAGGTTTGCCCCTTAACCAAAGCCACAAAGCAGAGCAGAAAAAGTTTGTCCATGTACAAAATTTGTTGTTTTGTCTGTGTAGAGCAGCTTCCTGAAGCTTCACATACCCAAAGCTCATGCTATGGATTTTCTGAATTTTACTGAGTACAGCCTCTCTCCTGCTTGCCTTGAAATTCACTGTAACTAAGATATAGAAATACCATGTGACTTGGGAAAATACACAGTTATGCAGCAGAAGTAATAAAGATGACAACAAATTAGATCTTAGTTCTGTAGCATCAAATGCATTTTCCCTGGCTGACTGACCTTAACGGTTAAACCGCTAAGACAGTTTTCCAATTGTTTCATTCAAACAGCATCTCAGACAGGCCCAAATATTTTAATTGTTGTTATACCTTGGATGGTGTGCCAGAATTATAACACAGCTTCCAATTAAAAAAACCCCACACTTCTAAGCACCAGAGTTGGTTTTGAACCCCAGTCCTTGTTCAAGTTGTTCTTACCCTCTGTACACAAATAAAACCCACCCTTGGCACCAAAGCTCTTACCTGCACAAGGAAGATGATGAGGAAGTAGAAGTTGGCAATTCTTCTAAACTGCTCAAAAAGGTTCTTCGGGAGGAAGTTCCAGAGGGTGTACTGTGGGGAGAGAGGGGGCTCACAAACTGACCAAGGCACGGGGCTGACGGGGGACTTGAGCTACAAAACGGGAAGTATCTGCGCGAAACAGGAAAGGAGTTTTCCCTTTAACCGGTCGAGGAGCACCGCAGCGAGCTGTCCAAGCAGCCCCGGCGTGCTCCAGGTCCCGGCTTTAAAACGAGGAGCCCGATGCAGCTGGACACCGAGATGCCACCGAGCTCCTGCTCCAGCTTCCAGCACCGGCTCTCTGCTGGCCCGCTAAACAGCCGGAAGTGGCTCACCGTTACGTGAGGGTTTTCATTTCCTTGCTTTAAGGTAGGTAACTATTTCTCTTTTGTCAAAACAACCCAAACCACACGGCTGGAGGTGGTGAAGGGTAAAAGAAGATAAAAAAACCAGGATCTGTTTAAGCAAACAATTTCTAGACAGGCATTTGGAGAGACATGGTTTCATGGAGGAGGTAATGCACAGGGCAGAGATTCCGACCCCCCCCCAAGCAAATTCCAAAAACCATATTAGGGTTGGTCTTCTGTTAAAGAAAAGCCACGCTGCCCATACAAATTTGTTAAGTTGTGCTTCATTATAATTTTAAGAAGGCGGCTGAACCATTCATTTTGGAAAACACGTACAATTTAAGAACAACATGGAAAATACTGGGTCTAATATCTGCTCTTTCTATCTGCCTTGAATAAAAAAAGAATAATAAGTAGCCAAGTCTCAAAATCAATGTCCACTTAATTATAAAAAGAGACCAGTCAGGTAAGCAGACTCCATGCCTAGCAAATATATATGGAAAAGAACTGCAAGGACACAACATTCAAAAATAAATCAGGGAAGAATTAAAATTAGTGCATTTTGTTAGGGAGGGAACTGAAACAGGGAAAGGCGTCCTCTCTGAAGGACCTTCTTGCATGCCAAGGAAATGTCAACGGCAATGCTACACGAGTTAACCGTGGTTAGACTGAAAACTTTTCCCCAATACAAGCACGTAGACATAAAACCAAACAAGATCTAAGCTGTATAAAAAAGGAAACTCCCCCCTCACAGCTCAAGCACAGTAAAACCAAGCGTAACTGTATGCTGAGCATCATGAATCCGAAGCAACGTAGTACGTATCCAGCTGTGTTGACAATGTCGGATGCCACTTGTTTGGTATTTTACTCGAATTGGCTTGAAGCCTTTTGAAATAGCTTCACCAATGTCATGGAAAAAAGCTAAGCAGAAGGCAGACGCGTGTCATCACAGTTTTCCACCATAAACAAAAGCTGCATTAATACCGTATGAATGTTTTCCCTTTCATCCAAAGGGATAAACAGAATGATTATTTTTATCCTATCTCAAGAGAGAAAAAAGCCCATGGAACAAAAAAAAAAAAACGGGGAATCATATTTTTCTGTCCATTTATAAAATAATCTCCACTACCTTTAGCAAATCTGAGTTGCTGTGGTCTCATGCTGTATTACACTTAACCTGTCCTTTCTTCACGATGGGAATGCCAGAAAACATTTTTAAAAGGTCACCCCAAAGATAACACAAAACAAACGTGTCCATGTGCTTTGCTCTCATCCAGCCTAGAAGCAAGAGGCGTGCACACACCCCCACTGGGACTGATATGAAGAAAAAAAGATTAATAGAGAGACTGGAGCTGGGGTTCAAGGTATGTACCAGGCTGCTCCACTTCCAAAGGGACCTTTACCTCCATCCTTGAGGAATTCAGAGTTTCTCAATTCCAAAACAACCAGTAAATAAGATCAGGGTGAATACACGAGCAAGGAATACACACGCGCCATGCACCCGGATGAGCGAAGCAAGCTCACCTTGGAGGAGACGATCCTGTTGTCGCAGAACTTCTGTGCCACGTACGCATCTGTTTCCGAAACCGGACGGTGCCCGACCACCACAGTGCGCGTACCGACCCGCTTCTCTTCCCCAGCACACTGTCGGAGCAACCACGAAAGGGAAAAAACAGCTTTTAGATGAAAAGAAGTTGAGTATTTGTATTAACAGCTTCCAGCTTCTGAATGTGCACATTTTCACTGGAAACAAGGCAGCTAGAATCTCAAAAATTCACTTTGCTGAGCCAGCAAAAGCACTGAGAATGAAGAAGCCCACATAAGGTCGTTTAGCAAAACCAAGGCAATGCCGAGTCTGCAGCCTGGGGTTTCCCAGTGCTGCTCAGCCACCGATGCCCCAGAACCATGGCCCATCCCACCGGGACAGGTCACCGCTCGTGTCCACCGCCCTCCTGCCTGTACCTGCAGCCTGCACCCACCAGTCAGGCTATTTTTCCTTCTTGAAGGAGAATATCTTTATCCAGCACTTGAAGTCATTAGGAACGTAATTTCTCTTTTACACGTCTCTTCCTATGGCCTCAAGTCGCGCCAGAGGAGGTTCAGATTGGATATTAGGGAAAACTTCTCTACTGAAAGAGGGATCAGGCATTGGAACAGGCTGCCCAGGGCAGTGGTGGAGTCACCATCCCTGGAGGGGTTCAAAAAACGTGTAGATGTGACACTTCGGGACATGGTTTAGCAGGCACGGTGGTGTTAAGTTGACGGCTGGACTTGATGATCTTACAGGTCTTTTCCAACCTTAACGGTTCTCTGATTCCTAGTCCCGACCCAGAGTCCTTCAGCCTTGGGTTCCTAGCGCAGCTCCAGGCTTCACCCCAGGACCCCACAGAGTACGATGGAAACTGCACCCTCCTTTACATTTGCTCTCCTGTCAAACCCTCCAGTGCACCCAAAATGTTTCACCACTGCACTGGTACACGCAGACTTCGGATTTAGCTTAAAAAGGTTATGCAGCAGCTTTAGGAAAAAAAAAAAAAAAAAAAAAAAAAAAAAAGGTATTTCTGCCATTTTAAAATCTCATATAAAACCAGAAATAATGAAGCAGAGAGTTTCACATTGCAAACTCCTTAAAAAGTCACACAGGGTGCTTGGGATGTCAGCTTGTCTTGCTGAGGGTTTATTTTAAAGCAGAACAAGATGTCACAAGTGAATGACAACCTGGTAGCAGAGGGGCTGTTGTCAAGCCCCAGTGACACTCTCTCTCCCCCTCAGGAGAGACCCGGACCTGTTGGAGTAGGGCCCTGAGGAGGCCACAAAAATGATCCGAGGGCTGGAACGCCTCTCCTACAAGGAAAGGCTGAGAGTGTTGGGGCTGTTCAGCCTGGAGAAGAGAAGGCTGCAGGGAGACCTTATAGCAGCCTGCCAGTGCATGAAGGGGCCTGCAAGAGAGCTGGAAGCTGGAGGGGGACTTTCTGCAAGGGCGTGTAGTGACAGGACAAGGGGCAACAGCTTCAAACTGGAAGACGGCAGATTTAGATTAGATACAAGAAATAAATTCTTTACTCCGAGAGTGGTGAGGCCCTGCCCCAGGTTGCCCAGAGAAGCTGTGGCTGCCCCCTCCCTGGCAGCATCCAAGCCCAGGTTGGATGGAGCTTTGAGCAGCCTGGTCTGGTGGAAGGTGTCCCTGTCCATGGCAGAGGGGTTGGAACTGGCTGATCTACAAGGTCCCTTCCAACTCAAACCGTTCTTTGTGACTATGGCGGTGGCAGCCGTGGGTCTCACCAACCCATGCCCTGCGAGCGAGAGGCAGAGCCGTTCATCCACGCCACGGCAGCGCTGGGGAGCAGGGACAGACTGTCCCCAAGCCTAAAGCCCTCGTCAGTCCTGGGGCAGAGCTGGAGCCGGGCATGCCAGGTGAGCATCCCTCCAGCACGGGGAGCAAACAAGAGCATCCCCTGCCCGCGCTGCCGGCATAGCGGTGGGAGGGAGCAGGGGTGAGGGTTTGCCAAACACACACCTTGGCACAGAAGCAGCAAAGCTCTGGTTAAAAACCTACACAAGTATTTACTCTGCAAGACTATCCATAGCTCACCATGGAAAACCTAGAGCACGTGAAGTCCCAGAGCAGAAAAGACCCCGAATCCCGGGTGTGGTGTGTTAGCTGACCAAGCCCACTGAGTCATCACCACCAACTTCCCAGCTGGGCTTCCACCCCCTAGCTCCCCTTCAGTCATTTTTTGAACCATCTACAAAGATGACAGCAACCCCCTCCACGGTGCAGCAGACCTCTGCGGCAGGGGCAGAGGGAGAAGTCCTTGCTCTGTGGTCTAACCAGGCTCCCACCGCTCCTGTTGTTTCGTTTCCCATTTCCCCGGCCATCCCACGGTGTCACACCATCACACAGCCACGCCAGCAAGGCTGCACACCACATCTCCCCATCTTCTTCACCTCCCAGAGCGCGAGCGCACACCACGATGACGCCCACAGCGAGAGGCGCCGGCTCAGCGCACAATTAAAAGCTCCGATTCTGACAAGCCCACCTCAGACAGCTCCCCGGGCTGCTAACAGATCGCAAAGTCTTAATAACAGCTCTCAGCAGAGACTTGAGAGGAGGTTTAGGCGGTAACTGACAGGCTTTTGGGAAAATTATGAAATGTGCAGATTAGCAGGGAGACGATTTAGATGACTTTTTCCCCAACTGCCTTTCATCGAAAAATATAATTCTGGTGGCAAAAAAGACAGACAATATTACTCGGATACAGTTCAAACGGCTGCCTCGTTGCCTGGTGGGGCACGGCACAGAGCCCACGGTCCGCAGCACAGGAGCCAGCTGGTGCCAGCAAAATCCAGAGTTTTTTCTGCAGCTTAGAGCCAAGCATACCAAAAGGATTATTTAAGAAAATAAACAATTGCTTTCCCCCCCATATGCACTTTATCACCTCCATCTGCCCGGGGCGCGGTGTTTGCGCTGGGAGAACCAGCGCTATCCGTAGGGATTTGCGGTGTCAGACCACTCACAGCCTGGGAGCTGCACCGCGTCCTCCCACCACACCATGAAGGTCTGGGGATGCTGGCAGGTGACCCCAGCTCCCTCGCTGCCGTACTCTACCCCAGCAACCCAGAAGAGCCCCCAGCAGCTGGCAGACACAAAGCAGCACCCCAGGGGACACCACACACCCCGGGAATCAAGCGGAGGAGGTATTTTTCAGAAGAGCCTGTTTGCATCACTTGAAGACCAGCCCCAAAGACGCAGGGGTCTCCCGCAACGTTTCAAGCTTCAGGGCTCCTGCTCTCCCGCCCCGGTGTCCAGCCAAGCCCATCAGCAAGTCAACTCCCCAGCACGGCCCCCAGACCACATTTCTGCTGAAGGAGCTCAGCTGGAAGACAACAGCCGAGGCAAACACAAACCGTAGCAGACAAAGATGAGGCTACTGACGTTGCGCTGCCAGGAATGTCCTTCTGACTTGGCAGCTCACACTCTACCTCCGCTTCCCACCGCGGGCACGACCAGGTGCCCGAGCTGCAGTAATAAATAACAGCATCGTCACGACCGGCGCGGGCACGCACAGCAGGGCAAAGTGCTGCTGCTGCGGCCTGGCCCTCCTCATGCCACAGAGAAACTCAGATACAGAACATTTGTTAAATATTTTGAGGTAACCCAACCTTCCTGTACTTTCAACTTTGCATAAAGCCCACCTACCGCCGAAGCAGCAGTTTTGAAAGGTGGCATTAGGGACAATGGCCGTTTCCTTACATTGTCCAAATTTAAGCAGCCTATCTGCACCCATCAACATGCCCATGGAAGGCCAGCTGAGGCTTGGCAGCTTGCTATAAACTTTTCTTTGAGGAGTTAGGAACAGGTACAATTTGAAGGCATCAGACCAGGGCTAAAAATGCCCACGGATCCAGCTAATGACCCGACAGCATTTATGACTTGAAGCCACTGGAGCATTACATTGAGACAGAGCAATTACGTTCACAGTCCACAGCACTCCCCAGAATTCTTCACCTGAGTTTGGAGAAGCCTCCCTTCATGCCCCTTTCCCTCTGTCTGCTTTCTCCCACAAACACGTCCTGCCCTGGCATGACAGCTCCCGCCTGCCTCCCGGAGAGGCTCCTCTTCACCTGGCCTCCCAAATTTCTGGGAATCCATCACAGCACCACGTCCAGGACCCGGCTGGCACTCCATAGAAGTTGCAAACTTGGGTAAAAATTAGCAAGTCTGGGTAAAAATTAATGGAGTTAGGCTGAGTTCAACAGGAGAGGTGAACCCATGCTCTGCAGCCACCGTTGACAAGGAACCACTTTATGTGGGCTATTTCTCAGGCAGCTGCAAAACACAGTATTTAATTACATTCTCCCATATGGAAGACAAGTGTCTGTGCTATCTGCTGGCCCCATTTCCAGAAAAAAAGCAGCAGCAGAAAAAACCACCACCATTTGATTTACAACAGTTTCAGAAAGCACCTAAACCAGAACTAACTAATCAAAAGAAACTCCTTTCATGTTTGCTGAAGATATGGTCAAGCCACAAAGCAAACACAAATAACTCACAGAAAAAAGATCTACTAAAAACCACAGGCATTTTTTAAAAAGTCATCTGCTAAAACCAGAGATAATTATACAAGTACAAAGCTCAAACATTTGAATGAAATGACAGCTTATATTGAATATATGCAGAAGAAAGATAAAATCAAATTACTTGGCTTGGAGCTCATGAACAGTTTAAAGTCTAATCACTCCTGTAACTGTTCCATTTATAATAAAGTAGTAGAGAAGACGACCTGATTTACAAGAAAAGCCAGCAAAAACAACACCTCCCAAAACAGTCTGTTCTAGCTCCCGTTTCGTTTAGCCCCAGAAGAGCAAAGAAAAATATGCCAACAATTTTAAAAAGCCTCCCCAAATTTACCATAACTTCCCCAAACCATCCGTCAGTCTCAAAGCTGCTCCGCACACCGGTGTCATTGCCCAACTGATATACATTTAACTGAAATTTTTCTTGTTAGTTTTTCTGCTACGCTTTGTCCTTAGTTATTTCTATGCAAATACAAGCAATGCTTTGAGAAAACCTTTAATAATTTATCAGTTCAGACTATGCTTACCCACACCGACCACATTTTTAGGCAGATCTTCTGATTTATAGCGAGAACTCCACCGATCGGGATCAACCCCACCGTTCTCCCCTATGTTTGCGGGAAAGGATTGATAACATATGCACAGTCCTCGGGAAAAATCCCAAAACCATTGCATTTAAAATGCTAAGAGCCCATAGGTCCAAGAGAATGGGCTAAAGGTGAGCACCGCTCCACGCTCGCTTCCCACTGGAGAGGGCTTTCGCTGCCCACCGCTAAGCGGAAAAGGGAAGGCCGATACCTTGGGAAAGCAAAAAGGTTGAAATTTAAACCAGTCGCCCTTCTCCTAGGTTGAGGCTGGAGCTCCCACTGATATTTCAAGCAGAGAGAACCAGGTGACCAAGGAGCGACCGCCGGGGGCAAGGCGAATTCAGCCGAGGTGCGGGGGGCAGCAGGGGGTAACCCCATGAGTCCCCAAACCACACAGAGCAACAGGCAAGGGCAAATGAGGAGCCATGGGAAAAGGACCAGTACTATTTTTTAAGCCATGGTCACCACATGCTGGGGTTGAACACCCAGACCTCCTCCCTGGTCCCTGCTGGGGATCACACAGCGGTGGATGATGTGCTCCAGCAGAGCATCATCAACCCAGATGGCACCATCCTTAACACAAGTCAAGGCATGCCCAGCGACACGAAGGGCCCCGACCAGAGCCCGTCCCCATGTCCCCTCCATCCCAAGGATGTGCTGCCTCACCATATGGGCTTGCAGGAAGGTCACCCCCACCAAGGACGACAGGCTGGAGAACAGCAGAGCCCAACCAGGCTGAGTTTCCTGGAAAAGCTGACATAGCCAACAAAGCCACTGATAAACGCAGAGACAGACACGGCAGGGCAGGGAGAACAGAGGAAAAGGCTACTTGAAAGATTTAAGAAGGGTGGAGAGAGGAAATAAGGATTTTTTCTCTCCCCAGATAATAAATTTACAGGAGGGCCCAACCCTCTCCCGGACTCGGGGAGTGCCATGCACAGCGGTGACAGCTGAAAAGAGCTTTTTTGGTGTGGGTTTTGGTTTGTTTTGGTTGGTTGTGTTCATCTTTTTTCCATCCGAAGGCAGTCTGCCCGCTAAATCATCCAGCACTGCACCTTCCCAGCCAATACACCACATCGGCCGTAATCACAGCTTCAGTTCAGCCGCGCTTTGCAGAAAGTCAGGATCACACGTGCTGCAGAAAGCCAAACCCAGGCCGAAGCCAGCAGGTATCGATTGGGATAACATTACTTCAGTGCTGCTGCTCCATGGAAAATCTGTTGCTCTTGTTCAAACACCAACCTTTGGAAGTTTTCAGGATCTCAGCTCTTTTCTCGCTGCCCTGTTGGCAGCCGGGATTATGAAACCATCGCTCATCTGGAAATGTGGGCAGCATATTTTTATTTTTGGCAGCCCAAAAGGAATAGTTCGACCAGCATGCTGCCGGCAGAGAAAATTCAGGCTCAGAGGAACACTCTGGACTCGAGAACAGAAAAAGCACTTTGAATAAGAGCCCAAATCTTTTGCAGAGGTCACAAAGCAAATACAACAAGGTGTTCCCATCTTCAAACCTCTTCCTCCCTCCTTCCCCCAGCCCAAGCTGTGCACATACGTCTGCTCATCGGCAGCTATTTCGGCAGGGCAGCAAGCTCTTCAGAGCAGTGATTTGCCCTGGCAAAAACTAAAGTAAGAGCAAACTGGGAAAAAACCTCCAAGTCTGTAATTGTCAACGCTTGCATCAGCCAGCAGAGCTATAATTTGTTGGTTTTCCCACTGCTTTCTGGTCCTCAGAAACTCTGAGCTCTTCAGTTATGGAAACAAAAAACCCCCTAAATACCATGTCGTGCATCCCAGCTCAGCCAGACGTTACTCTGACCTCTGCCACCTATGCCCCTTTCTAAGTTTTCCCAGCATTTCAGAGACCTGCTGCCGCAAGGAGCCCGTTTCCCAGCACAGATCCCTCGCTTCCCCCCGGGAAGCGAGCCTGCCCGCCC